GAGGGGTGTGGAGGGGGAGGAGGAGGGGGAGCGGATGGAGCAGATGGGGGTGGTACGGAAGGGTTAGCAGCATCTCCTTCCTGGGGCCGAGACTTCAGCGAGGAGCCCAGTTTCTCAACAAGCGCCGTCATTTTCTGGAGTAGAGAGCCTTGGGCATCCTGCGAGCGCTTGACGTTGTCCAGTTCCATAAGCAGTAGCCCAGCATCCAGCGGGTTGATTTGTGGATCCATGGCGGCCACATGTTCATCAACACGGGCTTTACCATGCGCAGATATGACGGGAGGGGACCCATTAATCTCAGCTTAAGGACGTTTGCGATTCTCAGCATCATTGATACCACTATTCTTCATGTTTCTTGATTTCCTTGGTTCACCGACCACCTTATCAATTTCTTGCCAAATCTTCTTATTCTCCTCCTCTGTTCTTGCCAGGTGTAGCCTATGCAGTTCTTCCATTTTTGCGTTGATTAATCTAGCCATCCGTGCTTCCTTCTCCGCCCGGCGTGCCTCCTCCTCTTCTATGCGCTTCCTCTCCTCCTCCTTTGCCATCTTCGCTTGCTCCTCCTTGATCCTCTTTGCTTCCTCTTCTCGTCTCCGGTCCTTCTCCTCTCTTCTTTCATTGACCTGTTCCCTGAGAAGGAGAACTACCTCACCGTCGTCAGTCCTCTGTCGGCCTCCCCACGGCGCCGTCGCTGGCTGGGGGGCAGAGTTCGGTCGATAGGGAACGATAGTCGAAGATGGAAGTGGAGCATTGAAGACCGGATGTTGAGGTGGAGACGCCGGGTTCGGTGCAGGAGCTTGACTCAGGGGAGGAGCCGAAGGAGCATACACTGCCTGCGCGTACGTCTGAGGTGGTGGATATGAAAAAGAACTCACCGCATAGCGGCTGGCACCACCAACCGGGTTACCGGCGATCAGACCGTCGTTCTGCTACACGAAAGGACAGTTGCGGATGTAATGGTCCGACCTCCTGCAGTAGTAGCACACCCTCTCGTACGGAGGAATCTGACCAGCGTCCACCATTTCTTAGGTACGTGTTACGGAGAGGAGCAACACTAAGATGGAGCACCCAGCACCCGGACTCGGGAGGCGAGACAGTTCTTGCACAAAACACAACAAGCAGCCAACAAAACACGAATCAGACGTGAAGATCACGTTATCCGAGGAGCAGATGGATACATGGTTATAAATAATTGATGCCATTAGCAACAAAAGATGGGGAAGGGTATATAGTGAGAGGGAGATTAGTTGTCAGATCACATTTGCCTAGGGTTACATCAAAATTTTTTACCTAATTAAAAAATTAAGATTTAAATTAATTTTTTTTTTTTTTTTTTTTTTTTTTTT